AAAAAGTGTTCCACCATGTTGTGGTTTCAAAGTTGTCTTGAAAAGGTTTATCGCAGCAGTATTGGCAGATGCATTGTCAAATGTGATGCTCAAAACCTTTTCTTTAATGCCATAAAAATAAAAAACTTCCATGATGACATCATGAATGGCCTTGGCATCATGTGGATAAGGCATTGATCGAAAAGCAATTAACCTTTTTTGAAAAGACCAATCTTTATCCACATAATGTACCGTTACACAGATATAACTAGTTTTGGTGTGACCTTCCCACAAATCAAATGTGCATGCAACAGATGCAGTGAATGAATTAAATTCGTTAACTAAATTTTCTCTCATTGAATGAAATACGTTCATAGTGTCAGCTCTTGTGGTAGTTCTTGAAACACGCCTATATTGTGGATTATAAGCATTTTGAATGTACTCCTCAAAGGCCGGATCATCTGCAAGACTAATTGGTTGTTGAGCACTAGCCAAATATCTAGCATGCCATTCTCTAGCTCTTTGTTGGTCATATGACCAATTGGTAACACTACCATCAGAGCTAAATTGAAGTCTTTGTTGACGACAATCAACACCACCTACACCCTGCTTAGCTTCGCATTTTTTGCGATGCCTCTCTAAGTGACCAGTACCAGAAGAGGATTTACTTGTGTAGTCTTGTTTGCATACTTTGCAAATTGCACGTTCTTCTATTACACCATTCTCATTTTTACGCATTATTAAATCAAAATAATTCCAAACTGGTGAAGTTCGTTGCATTTTTCTTTTACCTTTACGAGTCACATCAGAGGAGCCACCAACTTGAGATACTGAGTCAGCTCCAATTTCTTCAAGTGGATCATTAAATTGTTCTTCTTCATTGATCACCAAATTTGAAACATTGGTGTTCCTTCCATGTGATGATGTCATTACTTAAAAAAACAATAAATTAATATAACATTATCAATAAAAATTAAATAAGATAATTACACAATAAAATTAACTTATAACAATATAAAATTAATGAATAATAAATAAAATAAATTATACCTTTT